AAAAAATCAGGAATTTTCACTCATTTCTCACATCAAATCTGTCACTGGGGGGGGGAAAAAATGAGATTATTTGTGGAATTTTGGATGAGGGGATTTGGGGACAATCACATTTATCCATCCCTGGGAATGGATTTTATTTATTATTTTTTTTTTATTTTAAGGAAAAGCAAGAAGGGAGAAGGGATTGGGAATTTGGGTCAGGAATTTGTTGAGTTTTCCATCAAATATTATAATTTTGCCATTTGTGCTGCTCCTTAATCCATTTATCCATCATTATCCTGCTTGGATCCAATTCAGCAGCTGATTGAGGGGTTTGGTGCCATCAAAAATGGATTTTTTTTCATGAGAATCACATTTTTCTTTTAGATATTCTTCTAAAAATCACATTTTTTAGAGTTTTTTTCACTCAACCTACAACCAAACCAGCTAAAATCCAAATAAAAGTCGAGTTCACCCCTCTGACGTTTCTGACTCTTTGGGGAGGATAAAACTGAATTTTTTTTTTTTTACAGGTTAAGAAGAAATAGTTGGAACCTTTTACTCACACAAACACCAGAGAATTTTCCCAGATATATTTTTTTTTTTTTTTGGCCAGGGAATTTTCCCAAATCTAAAATAAAGAGAGGAAAATTGGGTTCTCATATTAGTGATTTTTTTTTTTGTTTGTTTTTTTGACTGCTTGATAAAGGGAATAAACCAGGAATTAAGTGCAGAGTTCCCTCCCCTTCTTCCATCTCCACAGGGTTAAATTCACTTTTTGAACCTTTAAAAATCAGATTTTGAGTCATGGAGATTCTTGGCAATCAATTCCTACAAAATTCCTGCAGCTCCTTCTTGTCAAGTTCAACGTTTTTCCCCAAAGTTCTTGGGAGTTAAAATTAAATTTCAAGCCTGAATTCTTCTTTTGGCTCAAGGCAGCATTGAAATAAATCCTTGGGAATTGGGGTCATTCCCAGCTGGGAGCAGGAATTTCCTTTCCTCAGGCAACCTAAAAATGTAAAATTCCTACATCCACCACCCTGGGAGGAGGGGGAAAGAAAATCCCTTCAGATTTAATTCCTTGATCAATTAAATCAGCATTTTTGTCCATATTCCACTTCACAGTCTGAGTCTCGTTTAAAAAGGGGGAATAAAACCTTGAAAATAAACAACAGAAAAAAAAAATCAACCAAACCCTCCCCCACCCTCCAAGAGAAACCCTTAAAGTTCTAAACTCTATCAACTTAATTTAATTATAAAAAAAGGTTCATTAAAAACCTTTTTTCTCTAATTTTAAACTGGTGTCAAGGTGGAAATTAAAAAAAAAATCTGAATAAAAATGAGTAACTCTGGTGCACTCAGCAGGTCTTGAATTAATTAAGGAGAATTTTAAACACTTTTTTTGTCCACAATTCCAGTACAATTTTTGTAATAAAATATTTTAAACCAATGATTTGAAAAAAAAAAAAAAAAAAATCAGCTGAGGGTCAACAAAAACCAAGCCAAAAAACCAACACAAACTTATTTTTGAAGAGAAAAATAAATCCAAATAAATCCTGCACCTCCCTGTGAGGAATTCTTGGATTTAAAACTCCCAAATTTCCCTGGAAAAGCTTTTCCTGCTGCTTCGTTTGTGCCTTGAATTCCTGACACGACATTTGATGATTCACCTCCTGTTTATCAGGTGACAAAGAAGGAAAAGCACCAGGAATTCCATATTTTAACCCCTTTTTAGCATTTTTTAAGTTATTTCCCTTCTCAGGAATCAATCCCCCAAAAAAAGTGAAGTTGCTACATTTACTCTTGAATAAAACAGGAAGAATTAAAGAAAATAAACTTTTTTTTTTTCTCCTTTATTTCTGAGCTCAACCCCAGGGCCTGGCACCGATTTCCTATGACAATTCCTGCCCCTCACGGGGTTGTTTTATTAAATCCCAAAAAGAGATTTAATTAAATTTATTAAATTTATCTTGGATTTCACCTTAGAAAAGTGTCATTGGAGCCGGGAAGTGACACCTCAAGGAAGTTTTCTTGGACACATCCAGCCCACCTGCTCTGCTTCAGGTGTGCCCAAATTCAACCCCAAAAAATCCTTCATTCCCCAGAAAAAATCTCCTTTTATTTTTATTTTTTACAGCCAAATAAAGCCGGGTTTTATTTAGGAAGCTTGACCCTGAGTGCAATTCTGGGAATAACCTGGAGGCTCTAATCCCTACAACAACAACAACAAAAATCCCTCCTTTTGGCGTTTCCATAACAAAAATCCATGTCGGAAAGCAGAAACCTCTCAGCTCCAACCTTTAAAAAACAAGAAAAAAAAACCCAAAAATTCACGGAATCGCGTTGTTTTTAACAACCTAGGGGAGGATTCAGCCCGGCTGCATCCAGAGTTACTCAGCTCCTGAAGTTCCTTTAGGGAATGACGAATGACTACATTAGAAATATCCCTCAGACGCGTTGCTACAACAAGAAGGAATGAGGTTTTACCTGAAAACGAGGAGATTTATAAAATATCTGCGCTGGGATCGCAACTTTAGAAGGGAGGACAAATCTTAAGGAAAAGCCTCGGGCCTACCCCGGGCACGCAGCTCCCCCCTCCCCAAAGCCCCGGGGATAGGAAATCAAACTCATCCCGGCTTTATTCCCTCTTCATCCCGCCTTTATTCCCACCTCATCCCGGCTTTATTCCCTCTTCATCCCGCCTTTATTCCACTTAATTCCACCTCATCCCTCCTCACCGCTCCCTTCCCGCTGTGGGGACAGCGCGGGGGACGCGCGGCCTGCGGAGGAGCCGCGGCCAGGCCAGGCCTGCACACCCCCCCCCCCCCCCCTCCCTCCCCTTCACCTCCCGTCCCCCCATCTCCCACCAGCCGCCAAGAGGCTCCGTAGCGTTTCTATTTACGGTCGATCAGGGAGTTTTACCGAGCCCCCGGGGGCCGCCGTGTCGCTGTCGCCGCGCTCCGCCGGGGCCGTCGCAGCCGCCGCCGTGTCCCCGGTGCCCGGCTCAAAGATGGCGCCCGGCGAGCGCGCAGCCTCAGCCCGCCCGCTGCCAAGATGGCGGCCGGAAGTGGCTTCACCCGCCCGACGGGAAAGGAAAGGGCGGGCTCGCTCCTGAGGCGGAGTGGAGGTGGATGTTTTTTTGTGTTTTTGCTTCCCGGCGCTTCAAAAATCCTTCAAAAAGCCTCAAAAAGGCAGTAAAGCTTTCCCTGTAAAGCGAACAGGACCGCGTTTCTCCATCCCGACTTTAGCCTCCCGACGGGAAGGGAGAGAGCGGGTTCGCGCCTGAGGCGGAGTGGAGGTGGATTTTTTTGTGTTTTTGCTTCCCGGAGCTTCAAAAATCCTTCAAAAACCCTCAAAAAGACAGCAAACCTTTTCCTTGCGAAGTGAACAGAACCTCCTTCCTGCACCCTGACTTCATGCGCCTGACGGGAAGGGAGAGGGCGGGCTCACGCCTAAGGCGGAGCGGGGGCGGACTTTTCTGTGTTTTTGCTTCCCCACGCTTCAAAAATCCTTCAAAAAGCTTCAAAAAGAGAGCAAAGGTTTTCCTTGCGGAGCAAACAAGACCCAGTTTCTCCACCCTGCCTTCAGCGTCCCGACGGGAAGGGAGAGGGCGGGCTCGCTCCTGAGGCGGAGCGGGGGCGGATTTTTTTTGTGTTTTTGCTTCCCGGCGCTTCAAAAATCCTTCAAAAAAGCCTCAAAAAAAAAGGAGCAAATCTTTTCCTGTGAAGCGAACAGGGCTGCCTTTCTCCACCCTGCTCTGTGCCTACAGAATTTCTTTTGGAAAAATTCCTCCTGTTCCCGGTCCCCCAGAGCCCTGAGTCCTTCTTTGTCACCTCCAGGGATGGAGGGGACTCCAAACCTCCCTTCCAAATCCTGGCCACCCTTTCCATGAGGAAATTCCTCCCAAATGTCCCAAAAATTGTCCCCATTCCCTGCCAGAGCCTCGCAGGTGCTGTCCCCTTCCCTCAGGGATGTGTGTTCCAAACTGGAAGATATTTTTAGCTCCGCCCCTTTTTTTTTTTTCCTTTTCTTTTTTTTTCACCTAGCCCAGACTATGTTCACCAAAAAAAAAATTTTTTTAAAAAAAATATATATATATATCTACAATGGCTGTTGTTGTGTTTATTTTGTGTTTATTTAAAAGCTGTGGACATGGACACCTCCCAGGGAAAGCAGGGAATAAATGAGGGTGATGCTGCATAACCAAGTTTTCCCCCCATTCCTATCCCTTGGAATCAGCTCCAAGGATCAATTTGGCGACGTTTGGGATTGAATTTTCTTTTATCCCACTGGGATTTTCCCATCATAGCCCTAGAGTATTGAAAACTCGGGACTTCTCCATAAAAAACAGCTCCAGTGCAATCAACGCTTAGGAATGAGAGGATTGAAGTGGGAACGAGAGGATTTAAGGTTGCTTTTATTTTTATATTTTAAATATCTTTATTTAAATTTCTATTTAAATAAATAAATATTTTATAAATTTATATTTAAATATTTTATATTTATTTTTATTTTATTTATTTTATTTCCCATTTCCCTTCTTCTCTGGACAAAATTCCTCTTTGGAGGGAAAGGGCTTGAAGCTGATCCCAAGGAGATCCCAACCCCACCAAGGATCATCCCTGACCCAGGGCAGCCCCTCGGGCCAGCGTCACCGCCTCGGTGGCATTTGGCACCAATTTGGGGACTAAACGACAGAAATTCCACACCAGGGGAAAATTCCACACCATCCCTCTCCGCCCCGCGGGGATGGAGCCGTTCCTGGTGTGATCATTGATAAAAGATTCGTGTATTTATAACTCAGGGGAGGCTCAGGGACACATTCCCCGAGCCGGGGACACACGCAGGACGGCACAGTTACACATTTTATTCTCTGGATGCACTCGCATTGTTTCTGCTCAACAGCCAAAGCTTTTATTGATTCCAAACCATTCCCCTTCTCCCTCTTCATTTTTTTTTTTTTATTTTTGAACTTCACCCCCTTTTCCCACTCTGCTGCTTCCACTTTGGAATATTATCATATTATCATATTATCTCTGCTTGGAGTCTGTTATCTCGGAAGAAGCCAACGGACAATTCATTCAGATTCTCTCTTTTTTTTTTTTTTTTCTCCCAAGATCCATATAAATTACATGCAAAACATTGTACATAGAGATTAATATCAAAATGCAATACAGATCAGGTGCACTTTAAGCTGGACTCTAGGATATGGCAAACACACCAGGGTACATATTGCTTTGAAACCACCATTGTTTTGTTTTTTAATGTCATGCATACCACATAATATTCAGTCTTTTGTTTTGTATTTTGGTTCGGTTTTTTTTTTTTCTTTTTTTTTTTTTTTTTTTTTGGTTTTTTTTTTTTTTTTTTTTAAAAAAAAAAAAAAGAAAAAAAAAAAAAAAAAAAAAAAAAAAAAAAAAAAAAAAAAAAAAAAGAAATTATTCATAATAATATATATTTATATGTATATTTATATCTCCCCCTAGTCAAGGCATGTTGCAGAGAAGTCCCCAAAAGTCCGTGCCGCCGACCATGCCTTTTTTTAATTTTATTTTATTTTTTTTTTCTGGAGCACCAATCTCCCCCAAATTTTTTTTTTTTCTTTTTTTTGTGTAATGTCCTCAATAACTTAAGCCAAGAGTCAGCTGCTGCCAGGATATCACTGAAACTGAACCCAAAAAAAAAAAACCAAAACAACAACAACAACAAAAAAAAAACTTTACAGGAAATCTGCAAAAGAAACATTTATACTTGAAGCAACCAGCCATACACCAACATAATTTATAGATATTTATATAAAAAAACCCCATTTGTGTCATCCAACTCACGTCTAGTAGAAAGATGGCTGCTCAGAGAAAAGGAAGCTGACTGGCATCCGATGGCTGAATTAATTAATCCACGGAATTAATTAAAGTGTCCCTTGCAACTGCCCTCAGGCAGTGGCGGGACTCGAGATTTCTTTATTTTCTTTTTTTTCTTTAAACAAAATACATATGGCTGACGTAAAAATATCAGTTTCTGAGCTAAAGAAAACTAGATTTTTTTTCTTTTTCTTTTTTTTTTTCTTTTTTTCTTTTTTGCATAATATTTATATAGCATTATTTTCTCCCTCCCCCCACTCCTAAAATGGAAACTAGAAGGACAAAAATAGAGCAAACTTAAAGGAACGACCAGACCCTTGTGGCAAACCCTGCCAGTCACAGATTTTTGGGAGTGACTTTTGAGAGCCTCCAAAGTTGGCTTGAAGTTGTTGTTGGTTTGAGTCTTTCTTCTTTTTTTGTTTTTTTTTTGTTTATTTTTTTCAACAGGTCTGAGGTATT